TCCAGACGAATATGTATGTCCTCAGTTGAGGATGTTTGATTAATGAGGTTAAATTTGACGCAGTTGTAAGCGTGTTGGTTATTCGAGACGATCAGCACATTGAACAAAACAAAAATTGAAGATGGTTGTCTTCTGGGGGTGTTGTTCCACGTGGTCTGGTAGAAGTTTACTGACGTTTCCGAGATTCTTACTGCCTCCATCAGGGCAGTGAGTTTATCTGGGGAGGTAGGAGGTACCTCTGAAATTTAGGTCAATTTCTACGATACTACACGGCTCAGGATCCCAGAAGACGGTCACGTACACTGCCACTGACGTGGAAGTTGATTCGCCCCAGTCGCAATGACGGATCCGATCTCATGAAACGGTCCACTGCTAGGCCATACCCGACACCCGCTGCTTTCTTACTGCACCCTGCGATGGCTCGAATCCGTGGCAAGCGGTACCTATACCACAAAAAAAAAGCACGGCAGCCGAACACGCAAAAACGCAATTAATGTAACATATCCCAGCATGAATCAGCCTTTGGGCTAATGAACAATCTGGGGATTGTTAAAGCGTTTTTGTTCCCACACCATCGTCCCTCTTGCTTGTACACCCGCACGCCCCTAAATCGATGGTAACAATAGACAGACTGGACGGCGCCTACAAACCTCAGTTCCCTTATTTCGTTGTCATAGAAACGAAATCGTCCCCTCTCGCTCTCTTTTTTTTAATGGCCTTGTCCCTGTATCCTCCGGATCTGATTCCCTCATGAATGTAAAGCCGTTATCCCGATGGTTCCACCGTTCAATAACAGCACGATAAGCGTTCTTGGGCGACTTCTTTTCTTATATGTCAAAAAACAACGCGCAACCTGATTCCTTTGTTCGATAGCTTGATCGCTTCCACGCCAGAGAGAGAGAATGCATTCGTTCTTCAGATGCGACACGCTTTTCGCAGTCGAAATGTTTATGACACTGCGAGCAGGTGGTACATATAGTTACCAGTGGGAATTGTCTTATTTGAAATTTATCACGTAGCAGGTAGGTCTACAACGAAATCCATTCTCTTGAGGGCCGTATAGCAATTGTGAACGATGTTACGAAGCCAGTGGACTCTTCTCCGTACAAAACCAGGCTTAAAAACAATATTTAATTAATCACGTAGACATTTGGCAACTTGGACCGTTCTCGAGACGAGAGGGAAAGCCAACAATTTCCATGTTCTCTTGTGACTGGCAGCTCGTCTGTCTCATTTCTTTTTTGTATGTGTGAGAGGCAGAGAAGGGGAGCAGATATAAACTCTCTGAGAAATATTTAGAATACCCCCCCACCCCCACCCATCTCACTTTATGAAGCCGAGCAAGATGGTAGCAGAGAGCATTCCACGTATCAGGCTATGTATGGGAGAGTCATCGGTTCGAACTGTCTTTGGTATGATTATTATATGCAGTGAGACATGAAAAGTCACTCACTAGATGTGTGCAGACCACTTTTAAAGAAAATTTCCCCCAAAATTTAAAATCGATCCTACTCCAGGTGGAAGTATGATCACCCCCTGATGATGGAGGCAGTAAGTTTCTCCGAAACGTCAGTCACTATCCACCAGACTACACGGTGCTACGTCTCGAAAGACAGCCGTGAGAATCTCATTTCTTTGTTTGAATGGTGTGGAATCCTGGGCGTGAGACCTAAAATTGACAGGAACTAGAAATGTTCGCGCAGTTTTGGGCAGGAAACGAGTGGAAAGAAGCGTCTTAGGAGACGAAAATGTAGGTGGTAGGTTAATATTATAAGCGTGAACTGGGCTGAACTGGTTCAGGATATAGTCAGATGACAAGTGCTTATGCCCATGTCTTAGTAATTTTAAAGGCTTTATTTCTGAGGCAGATTTGTGGCGTTTCATTTAATTTACATGTAACCAATTGATGCACGTTTTTTAGAAATGTGTCTTTGCTTATACGTTGTTTGTCTCCGTCGCTTGCGTTATGGGACCAGTTTTCATCTAAAAAGTTGTCGTCTTTGTAGCACTGTTGGTGTTGATTACCCTTTGTGATACCGAAACACTTGTGCTTTAAAAGTGAGAGAAATTTCTGTACACCGGGTAGAATCCTGAATTGGAGGGTTGACTTGTTCAGGTGAAATCTGACCAGTCATCAACAAAAAGACAGCCGGTGTTTCTTGCGCCTCGACATAGCATTTTTGAGAGAGCCTACACGGAAACGTTGAACTCTTAAATACTCTTGCAGGACGAAATGCTGTGCCAAATGGTTGCAAAATGCAAAATTAATGTTAACGGAGCTGTTACATTCGAAGACCGGGTGAAGTGGATAGCTTGATGAGTCGTAAAGAATGCGCCATCAAAAATTGTACAAATGTTATGTTATTTCTCATTGTGATCTTCACTGGGAGACGAGGGGCTGGTATTTCTGTGACGTCAGTGAGAATAAAGAGCTTTTTTTTTTGCGTCACTGAGTTGGGGTTCTGCCTAGCCACAAAGACAGCGGATAGTTACGTTATCGCCTGGTTCACTTCAAGATACAGGCTCTTCCTTGAAAAAATGGGTACTTAGCGGATAAATAAATTCTTTACTTTCATCGAACTCGAAAGTTTGTTACAAAAACCCACCATTAAACCCTATTGTGAGACAGTTGAGTCCAGTCCACTCTACTCCCTTCATATCCTGTTTATCCAAGATCCATTTCAGGTTTTTGTGTGCCAAGTATTTTTTTCTCTTAGGGTTTTTACATCAAAATTTGATATTTACTGCGCGCGTTACATGTTCGCCCATCTTGTCCTTGATTATTTAAGCTCCGAAAGAATATTTTAGTGAAAAGCACAAATTATGAAGCTATTTATTATATAAAATGCGTATGGTTCTCCCGCGTTATCAGCATCCCTTGTAGTCTTCTAAATTCTAAGCATTTTCATCTCCGTGTGTAGGCTTATTGATTTGATAATATTTCGTGGAGCTGTTCGGTATGAAATTTCTCCTCCTACCCCCCTACCCCCAATCATCCTGTTGCTTCTTGGAGGAGTTGCTTATGTTTCAGAAAGTTCGTCGAGGGTCACTACAGCACGGCGCATCACAGTAGTTTTATATTTATTTTCTGCTGAGCAGCGGGCTGACCATCGACAGTTGTCGAGTGGTCCTGGGAAGAAATAGTTTTGTAATTATGGCCCTGAAGTGTGGTATATCGGGATCTCACCTCTGCAGTCCGGCAACTTCTCCGACACGTGTGTGTTGCGTGTAGTGTAAACATTTGTGCCAGGCGGAACTGCGTTATTTGGGTGGGGGGAGGGGCTTAGATAATACGCGGTTGTTCTTCCAGAGCTGTTGTCGATAAGACAAACCATTTGAAATTGGAATCCTTAATTTAGCGTGGTCCAACCTTTTGATGTTATGTTAGGTAAACTTCTACCAACTACGCAGAGCAACAACTCAGAAGACAGCTGTCTTCCAAATCACTTTCTTTATTACATAACAGGCATGCAGAGTTAGTAAGGAAATGGTGTTAGCTGCTGCCCAAACATTGACCTAACCATAAGGTGTCTTTCAGCATACAAACGGCTTGCATCATGTCCATATTTAGTCATCTCCAGGCTTGTTTCCAGAAGGTAAACCATGTTGTATGGTGCAGAATTCTGCGTGTCTGTTCAAACCTAATAAATTTGGTTCGTCACAATCATGACTGATCAGTGTAGACTGGCTTTTATTGTTATAACTGTGATAAGTGTAGTAAAATAATAAATGTATATGGGTTTTATTGTTATTTGGTAAGTATGCATATGGTTTTATTGTTATAACTGTATTGTAATAAGTTTTACACAGTTGATTGGTTCTTATGAAACTTTCTTGAATGGCCATACTTTTAGAGGTCACTCTTAAACCATGCTTCATAGATTTCTTTTTAAAGTCATATGGACACTGATGAACTTCACTCTGTTGATCACATTGGTTCTGGAGCCCACTCAACTGTGATACAGTTGGTACTGGGGGTTATTTATGTGGGGGTAAAGGAACCAGAGCACAAAGCTGTTCATTCACCTCTGCCTATTCCAGAGGAGCACCGACCTTACCTCCATTTCCCCTGCATGCTTTCACGGTATGATGCTTAGGATGGGAACAACTTTAGTTTTTTATATATTTTTTATCAGTAATAATAAAACAATGAAAATATAAAGTTTTCTACATATACAGAGAATGCATGATGATGTGTATGTACCATACAAAGATTTATATACCATAAGGGTTTTTTATCACCGAAGTAAATAGGCTGAAAGTGTTGTCTTTTTTTTAAAAAAAAATTGAATTTAATTGATGATTAAGAAGGTTGGAAGATCATCAGATTTTTCATTGTAAGCAATTGAGGAAAAGTAAAATAACCTTAGTGTCATCAACCAGGAACTTCCTCGAGTGCAAGACAGCAGTCTTGGTTGAATCACCGTTCCATGTTGCAGTATAACATGTTCACACCTATCTGTTTGTCGCGGTCCCGGTCGAACCCATGTACTGATGGGTCGTGAATCCTGCTAACCACCAATGCACACCATGCAGAATGGTGTGTACTGGATATGAAAAAAAACCTATCTGTTTAAGTGTACTTTCACCAGTCTGGTTAAAGTATGACTCATAATACTTTATATGTGTTTGCTTCCTGACATAAATAGAAAATTTCTGTGTTTATTGGTTCTGTTCATCTATTAATATTAAAACAGTGGCACTCTGTCTGTGACAGCTGTGATGCATTCTCTCTGTTTTATGACACAAATGTTGTCTTCAGAATGATGGTAGTCATCATATTGATATCATCAGGATGCTTTCTTAATTTTATGACTGATATACTTCTTATCTTCCAATGTCTGGTAAACATTTTTATGGAGTAATAAACATCACCATCCATTTTTTATGTTTTACTTAGATGGAAGTAGCCTGAGATACTGTCCAATCTCAAAACACATTAAAAAAATTGAATATTTAGTAATTACTAAGCAGTTTGCTTCATTTTCTGTTTGTTACAGGCAAGACATTCTGCCAGAATTGTAAGAAAAAGTGTTCAGGGGAGGTTCTGAGAGTTCAAGACAAATATTTCCACATCAACTGTTTTAAGTGTCAAGGTAGGAAGCATTTATGTATAATCAATGCATGATGTGGGATGATTTTTTGCCTCTCTTAAAACCATTCAGGTTCTTGTGTGTCTAATGGCTACTTTGTGTAAATGTTGGGCTAATATGAAATTATTCAAAAAGCAACCCAAATCAACATTGAGTTAACACAGAATATGGTTGTGTTAATCTTGCTATGTATTTCAGTAATTTTATGTGGTCCAAAGTACACAGAAAGTGTTTATGAATTCTTTCTGTGAAATGTATGCAAATGAAGATTGTAATAGACTGCAATTAGTGTGTGTGCGTGCGTGCGTAAAGGCATATACTCCTTGGAGAACACCTTTCTAGTCTCGGTACAAATTTAGTACCGAGAAATTGTCATAAGCAAGTTACATCTGTCTGTCCATTTCATCACTTCAAACACCAGAATTAAATTGGCCACTGTCACAAAGGAGAGAGTAGTTCCCCAGTGAACAATTAATGTGCAGCACAAAACACAACATTGTGTTATGTCAATGTTGTAGAAGGATGGGTTTTTCTCAGCTGTGGTGTGTAGCAATACAAAGCAAAATAGGGCCATACCGACTCCTTCCAGATATTCACACTCACCATTCATGACCATTTGTGATCATGTATGCTCTACACTTGTTAGTTTACATAAAAACCTTACTCTGGAACCTGGCACATAAAAACTGTAGGTCAGTAACATTCATGCACTGCTGGGTATGATTTCTCACGCTTGAATGGATGCTCAGGGATCATAGCCAGTCACATGGTTTTGTTTCATAAGGAAGTCAGAATTTGCACCTACAAAAACTTGTGTTGGATTGTTGTGTAACACTAAGAAAGCGTAAAGGTGTGTTTCTTTGCTCACTTCCTTGAAGTATGAGAAATGAAGCGAGTAATTCATTTGGGTGTTGATACAGGATAGTTAGAAACATTCTGGCCCCTCTGGTTTTGTATTTTGTAGATAACCTATGCAAAGTAAATTTAGAGATGATGTTGGGAATGATTCAAGTAAGACTAAGTTAAACAAATATTACTTTTTTATTTCTATTTTTAAAGTCAACTGTATTGCTTATCTGTGACTCAGTACATCACCCAAAGGATTCAATACCAAACTCACATAAATTGTGTACTATTTTTCTCTACACTAGATGTGTAACTTATATTACATTGAATGGAAGTAATTGTGGCCTTTTATTTTGAAGTATTATTCTTGCATTGTCTGGAAGGACAAAGGAAAACCATGTAAACCCTAATTCAGGATAATCAGTATTTAGACAGAATTCAAACCTGGAACCTTCAGTAGTATAATTTCAGTATATCTTATCATATTGGAAACAATTCAGCAAATAAGTGGTAGGAGAAAAGAAAGTGATTGATCTGTGTTTTATCTAGTAGATACCTATAAGCATGAATTATTTTTGTGATATTTGCACTTATTCAGGGACCAGAAATGATATTAGTGGTGTTAAAGGACAATTTTTATCTGGTTGGTACAGAATTTTCTCAACAAATCAAAAGAATTTATGAGTATATGGGGACATTGAAAAAATTTAAAAGTTGGGGGAAGGTATTACAAGTAGTTGAGTTACAGATTTTATTTACTCACAGAATTTGAAGACCTTTGTTTCATAAGGTTAAATTACAGAAGTCAGTGATGCCAGTACACAAGCACCAAAATTCTGGAAGAAACTTGATACCTACTTACTCCAACATTTCCATCTTTATAAAGAAACTACCAGGACATATGAATTAATAATTATGTAATTTAACAATCTTTTCCTGTCCATAATGTCTTATAATGTTTACCTATATATTTTCTAATTTACCATTATTTTAATCATTATGTTTCATTTAAGTAGCTATTGCAGTTGATATAGCATCTCTTAACACCTACAAGCATCATGTGATTCTCTCTTATCCTTTGCATTTAGATGGAGATCAGAACCATTCAAATTTATCAAATCGGGTCAGCATTTATACCTTCCTCCGCTTTGCAATTTGCACATATTTGTAAGAAAGAATAACTTGGGAATATATTATTTACATTGTTCTGTATCTACTTTTTGGACTGCTGTAGTGGTAGAAGTTGAAAAAATGATTTTATTTTATTGTGGCAGTGTGCAAAAACTCGTTGGCCCAGGGTGGCTTCTTCTGTAAGGATGGTAACTATTACTGCACGGCAGACTATCAACGCCAGTTTGGTACCAAATGTGCCAAGTGTGGTGACTATGTGGAAGGAGAAGTGGTGTCTGCACTTGGAAATACGTACCACCAGAAGTGCTTCACATGTGCCAGATGCAGGTAGGTTATGATTGATAGAAAACAGAATGCGTCACTAAAGGGGATGTAAGTGTTCTTCACTGCAAGAACAATTTCTTGTTTTTTGGTATAGTTTTTTAAAGGAGTTCATCATCACATGTAATTGCAATGTTTACTTTTGATTTTGTATATAGAAACAATTTAAAATACATTAATTTATTTGTTTCCTAAATATCTGTTAAACAGTGAACATTCAAGTCACAGATTTATATTGTAAGTTGGTAATTTTAGAATGCAGTTCTGAACATTTAATTTTTATGAACTTTAACTTAAAGATATATTTGAACACATTGTTTGGAAATTGTACATTGCTGACTTCTGTCATCTATTCCAGGCAATTTTACCAATAATAATATTAGTTAATTTTTGTATATTTTATAATCTGCAATTACTTGAATGAAAAAAACGTGATTTATAATTTTATCTATGTCTGTATGTTAACAGATCAGAGGGGAAATGAAAACTGAGACTTGAGCATAAAACAAGATTAACAATTATTTATCTAATTTTGGTTATAAATATAATATGAGGTGAAAATTTTGTGGCACACAGGTTGCGCATCACTGCCCCATTGTAAAAAATTATAACAAATAATGTTAGTTTGGTCAGCTGACTCACCATTTTATAATTTCCTCGGCTCTGAAATGGAAGAACTTCTAATACCATAAGATCCACAGTATTAAAATGTAGACACCATACTTTTTATGAAGTACACATAGTTTGACAAGAATTTTAGAATTCCAAATATGGAGCAGCGGACACACCTCTTAGAACCTTCTTGAAGAGTGTGTTATACTGTTGAAGTACAATTTAAGGTTGTTAAATTAAATTGTGTTTATTTTAGTTATATAAGTGCTGAGTCAGTAGGATGTACATGTGAATACCTGTGCAAATAAGCTTGATAATTGAGTATGTTGGTTATTGGTGTCTGCGAAGACCTTGAAGCAGATATATGCAATCACAAAGCTGTAATGTCTCGTTGCAGGCAGCCATTCCCTTCTGGACAACGTGTTACATACACAGGGAAGGAAGTTTTATGTCAAAAGTGTGTTCAGATTCCTGTACGGGAAACACAGACCCTACAGGCAAGCCCTTCCAGCATTAATGGTCCAGGTATGCACAGTGTCTGGTTTGATGTTAACAAGAATATTGAAAACCATTAATTTGAATCAAAATGTCAATTCACTTTCACTTATGAAGTTTGGACTAGTAGGGTTGATGTTTTGCTGTATTATTCTTCCATGCATGTTATCTGCATCACAATAATCCTTATGTTGTTTTCGGTTAAGTAATTTAGCATGCTTCTCTGTATAAGCATCTGATTTCCAGTCTGATGCTTACAGAATGTGCTGGATGTCAGGAAGAGTTGAAGGAAGGACAAGCGTTGATTGCATTAGAAAGGCAGTGGCACATTTGGTGCTTCAAGTGCCGCACATGTGATTCAGTTCTGCATGGAGAGTACATGGGGAAGTGAGTATCTGGCTGCACTGATATCTCAGTACTGTAGGTTTATAATTTAAAAAAAAACTGATTTTATGCTGGAGTTAATGGCATATGTGGCAGTGTTGGTATTACTATGCAGGTTGAAATGTGAGTGTCTGTTCTGCTGTATGTTTGAGCCAAGTGCCGTTGTTGCAGAGATGGCATTCCATATTGTGAGAAGGATTACCAAAAGCAGTTTGGAGTGAAATGTGCCTACTGCAACCGATACATATCAGGCAAGGTGCTGCAGGTGAGCGCAGAACTGTCACCATTAAATTCATTTTCATAACAATTTTTTTAATAATGTCACTTTGGCTGGCTCCATTGTTTTAGTTCAGCAACAACAGTGATTTTGCTCCAAACTTTATATATGTTTTCATTATTGTACAATGTCATCAGTTCCGTCTTCCTTATAACCACAGTATAAAACTGGAGAATTTACAGCTGAGACTACTGGAGAACAGATTTGGTCTTAAATTTTTTATATAATTGTATATAGGCATTGCAGTTGGATTTATGTAAACCCTCAAAACGTTGGTAAATTGTAGCATTGTATTATTGTCATCATTTATTACCCATTGAAGATGTGTTTGTCTTGGATTGGGAAGCATCATTGTGTTGACATGCTGCTGTGGCCTTATCACAGTTGTCTGTAAAGTCTTGAAGTTAACTAAGAAAATTATGACATTAATTAAAAGACACTTGTTAAATCATCTGATCTCGGAACATAAGTCATCATTAAGTAGGTGGCATAGAATTTCTCTCTTGCGTACAGGCTGGGGATAACCATCATTTTCATCCAACTTGCGCTCGATGCACCAAATGTGGCGACCCCTTTGGTGATGGTGAGGAAATGTATCTACAGGGTAAGTATTGCATTTATTATTTGATAGGCTGTTTTATCATAATTGATATTAATAAATTATAAATGATTTATTCTTACATAGATATTATTGTAATCCCATAATTCAGTGCCTACCTAAGTATGGTCCATTTTCTTTGTTAACTTGATGTTGAATTTTGTACAGGTACAGCCATCTGGCATCCCCGTTGTGGGCCTGGTCCAACAGAAAATGGTACTGTCCTGAATGGTTCGTTGGAGAATGGCCACTGCACAGATGGGGAATCTGGCAAGGAGGGTGGTCGTGAATTTGACCATATGAGCAGCTCTGCTGTCAGCGAACTGCAGGCAAGCAGCTATGAAACAGGCATATTGTCTCATTCCATATGTTTGACTACACTAAGTACCCTAGAATGGTGTTGCAAACTTTCGCACTTATCTTGTGATTACAAAAATAAAACAGTGGGGTCACTTAGAACAGTTGAAACACATTTTATTTCATTGCTAAAATGCCAGTCAGTTAATTGATTTACATTTTGATGGACACATATTTGTTTTAATTTACATTTTGCAAATAGTGAATACTTTAAGAACATATACTTATGCCCATAATTTAGAGTCCTGATTGGCCACAATTTTTCAAAAATATCTTGTTTTTCTTCTTCTTATCTGATAAAAATTTATTATTGACAGCAGTGACTGGCATTTTACCCATGTGAAGTCTAAGTGAAGAGAATGAAGTTACTTCTTTCAAGACACCTCGTCATGCCACTTCAAGTGCTCCTTCATTAATTATGCACATCAGGCAATTGAAATAGCATACCCATTTGATATAATACGTACAATCACAATATTCTCACCATGCATGTTTCATAAAATTCTGTCTTTGCCCTGCAGACCCTGCATATACTATTTGTTCATTGTCTAACAGTGTTTGTGCTTTTCTCAGTAGGTAGTATTTACAAGAATTTTATTTTTATCAGTTCATTCAAATCAGTGTACTCACTCACTCTCTCTCTCTCTCTCTCTAATATATATATAGTGATAGTTTCTAAGTGAATTATTGCATTTCATTTTTCAGATCATTTTGTTGAGGTAGGCTTGTTCACATTATTTCCTCGGTTCCATCTGCATCAACTTAAAAAACTTTAATGTATGCTAGTTAAAGTGGGTGGTGAGCTGAACCAGTAGACTAATTCCAGTTTGTAGCTCAGACTGTTTGCTAATGTTTCAGGTTCAAATTTAGCCAATGCCACTTTTATGAAATTTAATGTAGAACTCGTATGAATCGAAACATAATTTTGTTGTCCATTGCTTTCTTGTATGTCTGGTATATGTACCAAGGTGGGATGTTAAATGGAACTCACATCTGTCAAGTCACAGAATTAGGGCAGTGGTCATACTGCCCTTAAAAATGGTAAACTTTTTATATATTAAATTTTTAATTTAATAGCACTTTTTTGTCAGGGCTCGTTTTATCAAATCATTGTTTAAACTCTGTGTAACTGAAGAGGTGAAAGACATAGAGAGACTATTTGATGGGTATATGGGTACACACATCCTGTAAGGCATCTTTATGTTGCATGTGTTCATAAGGAATCTGAAAACATTAACCAGATCATGTTCCTAAGTAGATCACTTAAAATTAACTAGGTTATCAAGATCTTTTCACTAAATCACATATACTTATTTTGTGAAATTTTATGTTTAAGTCTTTTCTACTAGTGCTGTACTCACTCACCCTGTGGTGCAGGAAATTCTTTGAAAAGTTGATTATATACTCAGCTTGTCAAAGAATAGCCCTACCAGTGCTGCATATGAGTTTGTTCTAACAGTGCTCTAATTTTATGTTGTATTAAGTATTTAATTTAGGGATATATTGTCAGCATGGGCAGTAGTGTGACTGTTGTTGAGAATGTTAATTTCTTAACTTTATGTGAAATTTGCAGAATTCAAGCATGTTACTGTTTGTCAGTTATTTTAATTTTGTTGGTTTTCCTGTTAATTTTTGTAGAAGTGTGTTTTTTAGCAATGTTGTTTGGTTTTTGCAGTTTTCTCTTCGTTCCCGCACGCCTAGTCTTAATGGTTCATTGTATAGCCCATATAATAGTTTGTCCAGAAAGGTTAGTAGCACTACATAGTATTCACTTATACCAATTCTTCATGGTGATATATTTATTCTCTCTCTGTTTCCTGAAGTGATATTAATCTAACTTTAAGTATTTATTACCTTTCTGGTTATCTGTTTAATGAGGGACTGCTGCCAAATTGTTCCCTGCAGTACTTGGAAAAGTATTATCAGCTACAGATACTTACTGGTTCTGGCTTGTTTGTCGTCTTAGATAGTTTGAGTGCTGTGATGATATAAATATGATTTCCAGACTACACAGTGTCATTTAAATTAGAAAGCACGTGGGATTAAGTATGAACATAATAATTTTTAGTCTTTGCCATATGTAATGACCAAATGGTTAGAGCTCCTGCTTCCTGTTTTGGAAGACCAGGTTTCCGAAGTAGCAATTCTAATTGTGCATCAGAAAGGAGTGATTAAAATAATGCTCAAGATAAATGATGAGAAGAAAGTCTTTTATAACAATCAAAGTTTTGTAATGAAATGAGCAAGAGTAAATCATAAGTTTTTGCATATAATACAATTGTATAGTTACAGATTTTCTTTTAAAAATAAATTTATTTGAATGGTTTTGCTTGATTGCCATATGTGTGTTTAATTGCTTGTTGTCAAATTCTCATTAGCTGAAGGCAAATTCAGACTGGCATCACTTTTGCACTACCAGACATAATGTGTTGGTGATTTGTTGTATTTTTGATAGGGGCAATAATTTTTGACTGAAGCTAGTGGTAAAAGTATGGATACTGGGCAGACGAAAACTTCATTTCAAATTTTTCTTTCAGAGTGTTCATGTAGGTAATGCATTTGTCGAAGTTTTAGTTAGTGTGGATTTCATATTGCAGAAATTCTCTTTGTTTGTTTATGGCCATGGTAATTGACATTATTTAATTTCCAAAGTGGAATGTGTAATTGTGTAGGGCTCAGGAGAAATGGTGTTAAATCTTATGTTGTTACACACATGAACAGTTATGCAGTACCACAGGGTGCTATAACATCAGGCTTCTTTTGCTGTCATACAATACATTGATGTAATTTAGACTAATCATAATATTGTTGGTCAAGGTGTTATATTTCTTGTCTTTAAATTTAAAAGTTCTGGGGGCAGAATATTTTTGAGGTGTTCTATTGCTCACAGTACGGTGATTATTGGGTAACAGACAGCCTACTGACACATTTCTTCACTAACACTGTAGTGGTTAAGAAATACACAAGTGGGAGCAGAAAGTCAGGTTGTATTAAAATCTAAGATATCCTCCAAGATATGCCTCTGCTTATACATACACAAAAACAGTAGTCACAAAAATAAAAAGGAAAATTCTAAAAATTTATCATACATGAACTTAATGCAGAACATAGTTGTGCATGCAGAAGGAGGAAAGCAGTCTTAATGTAGCTTTCTTAAGATTTCATCTAATCTCAAGTTTATATACAGTAAAATTCCCATTTAAGATTTCTGTATAGAGCAGTGAGTTAGAGCACTTAACTGAGGAAATTTAACATTAAGAAAATTGACTTGGGATCGTAGAAATTAATATTAAATGGCTGAAAACTGTAAATTGACAATTAAATAGGGGTTTTATTGTAATTTGGCATACAGATGGGATAAAATAAGTTTTATATGTTTTCCTAAAGTTCAATACCTACCCTGCAAATTTTTATGGCATAATAGTCCCCCCCCCCAAAAAAAAACAAAAAGAAACTGATCAGCCAAGTTCAAGTAAAGTTTGTATTCAGGTTATTATGTTTTATGAAGATTTCAGCAGTTGTTACCATTTCAGTACTCCGGTGGATATCAGCGCACTGGTAGTCCAGGCCTTATCCTGCGTGAGTACAAGAATAACCAGTACCCAGATGACATCAGTCGCATTTACACATACAGCTACCTAACAGAAGAGCCCACACAGGGATACTTGAAGCGACCCATCGACCCATATGACAAGCCTCCAACTTCACCACACTTTCATCGACCTTCATGTACGTATTGTAAGAATTTGGTACACATATTTGCTTCTTTCAGTCTGCATTGACTTCACTTTGAAATAATTGTGCTCATATTATGGGTATCTATTCACAGCAGTGAGTATGAAGATTTCTGTCTTCTGGGTTGTTGCGCTGTGTAGTCTGGTCGATGTTAACCAACGTTTCAGAGGTCATACTGCCTCCCTGATGACGGGGGCAGTATGACCTCTGAAACGTTGGTTAACATCGACCAGACTACACAGCGCAACAACCCAGAAGACAGAAATCTTCATACTCACTGCTGTGAAAACCTCAAATCTTACATCTATTGTAGGAATCGCAGCCCTTGATTATTGAAGTTAGCCAGTGACAAGTAACTGCGATGTTGCTAGATACTGCTTTGCACTCATATGTATGTGCAGAAAATGCAGTCAGAATTCTACATTAAGAGAATGATGGGTGGGTGTATAATATATCATCATATATAATTCAATATCTTTTGCAGAATCTTGTTCTTTCATATTTTCTGCTTGTCTTACTCAGGAAACCCAGCCACCTTGTGTCACCCTTTCAGGATCTTTGTTCATCAGTCTTCACTTCTGCCAAAAGCCAGAGTTATACATTGAACTTTGGCCATGAAATCCTAAGACAGGTTTTGTTACCATATTCCCTAAAGCCTGCCACAGGACCCTAACCTAAACCACTCTCTTGGTACAATGTTTACAGCTGCAAACTCCCGGAGCAGTGGCAAGTTCACACTCAACAAGGCCAGTTCCAAATCTGGCATGAAGGTTCTTGTGGACAGCATCAGGACAGAGATGCCTCGTCCCAGGTCCCCACATATGAATAACGAGGAGCCAATCGAACTTGCACACTTCCCAGCAGCCAAACGTCCTGGACCAGGAGAGCAGCCAAAGATTGAGAGAGATGATTTCCCTGCCCCACCATACCCTTACACTGATCCTGGTGAGTGTGCCCAGAACTGTATATTTTATCACACTCTTTACTATTCATGAAAATGAGAATATGCAACCAACCAAATTTTCGACTTATATCCACTGGAACTTGACATTATGTTACCTTTAACAGTTTCTGGTTTTAGAGTACAAGTTTCAGATTATGAAATCTGGGAAATGCAATAATTAGGTATGATTTCAGTGTTAACTCATAACAGTTCTTAAATTTAATGAGAAACGCCTGTCAACCATTGGTTTGTGATCAATTGATTTTGAGTTTTTAGTCGCCTAAACTCACATTTTCTTGTGATTGTCTGTACATTAATCAGATCCTAACGAAACATCAAAACTAAAGTTTAATTTGGCTTATATTTTGGTAGTGGCATTTCCTCTGTAACATGTGATGTTATACTGCCATAACCTTGATGTTTGTGTAAACAGGTTTTAATGTGTAAAAGTGGGGTTGGCATTGAATTTTGAGTGTTGCAAGATACATCCTAATCCATTTGTCACTATATTAGATTTTGAACTGTAGATAAATTCAATTGCAGATAAATTTATAACTTTCAGATTGTTAGAGAAAAGTCCACCATTTATTTTAGGTGATATATTAATATTTGCTCTCATGCAAGGATGACTTAGAATTTGAAGTGTTTTTTGTTTAGTTCTGTCCATTAAAGGCTTGGAGTATTCAGCACACAATTAAAGTTGACCACAGCATAAAGTTTTCCACTTCCTTCCAGCACCCAGGTTGAGAATACTTTGCTTTAGCTTTGTGTGGCCTACATATTTCTTTGCGTGCGACTTCAGCATTGACTCCTTCCTTCCTCCCAGCCTGTCACTAAAAATTATTCTATCTTGTTTGACACTGTATCATAAACCAAGTGAGTATTCAAACAACACATTAATGGAAGACATTTAACCATAACAATGCAAGTAAGATTAATGTCTTTTTCTGCAGAACGGCGACGGAGGTGGTCAGACACATACAAAGGTGTCCCAGACTCAGATGAAGAAGATGAGGTAGATGGCAAGGAAAACAAGGATAATGTGGAGAAAGTAGGAGACAAGAAACTTAAGGTGATTAAGGTTTAGCTGTAATATGTCTGTTGTCAGACTTTAACACGTTTAGAATAGGAACCGTAATATGATGGATCACTTTTGGAAGCCTCTGATCAAAGTGCAGAATCTTGAATGTGTGTTTATTACCTCCATTCTGCTCTGTATTTTCTTATAATGCCATGTCTGTCTACAGAATGACAGAATTATTTGCCATGTGTGGGAGATGTGTCTTTATTCAGAAAAATATTAGGACCTTGGCAAGATCCTATTTATTTTCTTCTTTGTTATTCGTTTGAAGTTTTATGTAACTACACTCCTGAAACATAGGAACTGACAAAAATAAAACTTTAATTCTGTGTATTTGAAAATTTTATGCTAAGGAGAATATTTTAATTTGCAAGAGGTGAAGTGTATGTTGAAATGAAGAAAATTATAAAATGTGCTTCATGGTTTATGTCGTAACATGTCACTGTAAGATAATTACATCTCTGAGGTGAAAGTAGACTGGGCATGTAGTTTCACAGGAAAATAAATAAGTGATTTGAGAGGATATTTTTTAAAAGAAATCATGCACAAGACAAAGGACTGGCAGGAGAATATTAAAAGTATATTTTGAAATCAGGTGTGGTAATGTGGCTTGGATTTGACTATTCCAGTGGTTATTGAATTTTGATTTCTGTAATGACAGTAAGCAAGTAAGAGCAAAACTTCCATAACATCCACATCAGACATGATTCATCCTTATATGTGTGTGTCTGTTTTACAGAAAGAGGAGGAGGAACTAAGTAAGATTGCAACTGGCATTGGAAAGGTGTTCTTACAGAATGTACGTGAGCGTGAAAAGCTGCGGCAGTGGAAGTTGGCACATATTGATCCTCGCAATGCATCAAGAACTCCATCTGCTGCACATGAGCCTGTTTATCGTCTTCGCTATGAGTCTCCCGTTAATGCTTGTAAGTTAAACAATAAGAAACTTCAATGGTTGTCTTCTGTGTTGTAGCACCATATAGTCTGGTAGAAGTGTACCAACATTTCAGTGGTCCTTGCTGCCTCCATCATTAGGCTGATGGCTAAAAAATTCCTTCTTAATAAGGATCTTGTTGCTGTCGTTATAAAGGCTTCTGTGTGCAAGAGTTCCTCTGGCTCAGATATGTACATCATCTAAATAACATATTGTGTTTTAGATTTATTTTCAGAGTATGCAAACACTGGTAAGACAAGACAGAAATCTATATAATAAACCAGAAAAGTTAAGCCCCAAATATGGTCAGTTACATACCGGAACAAAGCTGTGCATAGCAGAGAATGCTGAGAATTTTATACTACTACTAAACACATTTGCAGTATGACATTATTTTGGTGTATTCTTTGTATTGCCACGGGGCGTGACGCTGACCACTCACCTCCATAAAGTGCCATGGTCAAGAATGAGTAGGAGCTGTACTACCTCTCCCCCCAAGCGCCTATATGGCAATAGTGGGTCAGCTTTACTTTACTTTGTATTGCCATCTTGCATTTCTGTTTTTTTCGACTACTTTTCTTCCACATTTTATTCTTAACATGACCATATTATTGCATTGTTTTACTTTTTTATATTTCAAAATAATTTACATTGTATTTATCCATATCTGTGGGTACTGTCATGCTGAGTAGAATATTTGGACCTGAGAGGAAGGAAGTAGCAGGTGGCTCGAAAAAACTGCATAATAAGGGGTTTCTTAATTTGTACCCTTCACAAGCAATATTAGGATTATCAAATCTGGAAGAATGTGATGGGTGGGACATGTGAAATCCATGAAAATGAGAAATGCTTACAAAAGTTTAGTTGGAAAACCTAAAGGGAAGAGACTTCTTGGGAAAGACAGATATAGATGAATATTATTAAAGTGGATTTGAAAGGAATTAGATGTGAGGATTTGAACTTCATTTATGTTGCTCAGGATTGCATCCAGTGATCTCTGAAACAACGCGGTTTTCGTGATTTTCCAACTACAATCGGAACCCGTTTGTCACTACCGTCACTGTTAACACACAGAAGAACAGTAATTCGGTGTTTTGCACGTATTCCCCCGTGGCAAGATTCACCTTTCAATGCCAGAGTCCTATCCGGGAGGGCGTTGTAGAAAAGTCCGGTCTCATCCGCATTATAAATGTCCCGCGGCTCATATCCCTCCAGCAGTGTTGGCAGTCTCTCGAGCCACAGCTCCGTTATTTCCACATCCACAGCAGCACTTTCGCCTTTCCTTTGTACTTGTAATAAAAGCATTTGTGAAGAAATTCACACTGCACATGCCATCTGGCATCGCTGGAACGAAATATGAGTGCACCCTAATTAAAATCGTAAAATTTCTGACAATGCGCGCCGCCATTCTCTCCAACTATCACCCCTGCACCGCTGACCCTCATTCCAAAAGAATGTGCTGGTTGGGCGACATAACAGGTTACCGCTACTGTGTATTCCAAAAACATTATGCGTCTTTCGGTATTAATTTATCTCTAAACCCAGCATTTTAAATTCTCAGGAACGATCATTGCGGGAAAATTGTGGGCCGGGACTACGATTTTTGAACGATCGATGCGATAAAACGATAGTTCGAGGAACGATAGAAGCGGGAAAATGTAACATTATTTTATATGGGATGTATTCGGGACCGAACAAAACGGACGATGCATCCGGGAAAACGATAGTTCCGGGAACGATGGATAGAGGTTTCACTGTACTGTAATTTACCTTCAAGTTCCAAAGAAGACAAAGAATGCCTTGAGTGATTGCTGGCTTTTTAGAAGGTCTCTATGACATGAATTTAGTTTGTCATACTACAATGCAGTTAACATGCTCGTATTTTAATTTATATTTTGAGACATTAAAAAATTATTGATGTAGAATAATATAGTAGCTTTACTTGTTGGATACCAGTGTTCTGTAATTGTCTTGACTGTTGTCTAATATTGCTTCAGCTCCATCTCGTAATGTGGATCATCCTCGACCATGGGAGGATGACGAACTGATGGATCGGAGCTCTAGTTATCGATCTTCAGTTGGACGATCTGTAGGGACCATACCAAGCTATAACGGTGAGTGGTTACTCTGTGCACTTTTGAAATGTGTTGGATTGTGGGTGAGTGGTGCTTACTTGCCAATTAAGGGGCAGTTAAATACACTATTTCAGTTTGATGAGGACATGTTTCTTATTTGTCCACATAGGCCAGAAATATTACAGGAATTTCTACATCATATTAATAGTCAAAGACCTGCTGTACGGTTTACCATGGAAATGGAAACAAATAATATTCTTCCATTCTTAGATGATCTGGTCACAAAATGGGGGTCAACATTAAGGAAACTACTCTCACAAAACTAAATGCACCCTTAATGGGACATCGATTATACCCAGACCTTACAGGCATATTTAGTGTGTGAGGCTGTGTATATCACATCCCATGTAAATGTGGTAGGTGCTGTGTTGGTGAATCAAGTAAATTACTGGGAGTGCTTATCAAGGAACACAGACACAATCTTAGACAGGGTCTGGTGGAGAGAGAAAAACTGGCCTATGACGGGTGTCATCAGGTATCCTACAACACTGATAATTTTCTTGGGTAGTGGTGTTTCTTCATTGTTTGTTCTAGGAATTTTATTGTAGTTTTTTATACTACATTTATCATGGCCCCTGCCTGTCTTTATCATGTTTCTTTCATGGATTGTGGTTTTAATGAGAATACTGATGTTTTGTAGTCATAATATCTAATTTACAGATTTTTTGGAGTTTATTCAGTTTATCTCCTGCTGTTGATCCTGATGGTTGCGGTTCATATTCTGCAGCTGTAACTACTGTTCTTGTCTGGAGATTAATATTAGGTGTTTTCAGTGGATCCAACTTATTAGGTCGTGCTTTCAATTCAATAATTATTTTATTCTGTTTCACAAGTGAAAGAACAAACTGAAAGTGATGACAATCTTTTTTTAAGGATGGGTATGGGCAGCAGAAATTAAAAAATGAAATAAATTCTATATTTATGCACCAGTTAATTAAATATAACTTACTATTAAGGAGTTTTAATTGTTGAATGATATATTTTAATTCACACATAAAACAGAACTTTTGCTTAAACTCAGCTTAAATGTTTTATATAAAGATGCTGAAAGACTTTAATACACGAATGTAATAAGAAAGGCTTGGTCACAGGTACAAATATGCAATGTCTCCAATACTAATAGCAGTGTTAATGGGACAATATTATACTGAGAACTTTATTTTCTGTACTGCAATGTTAACACCATGTATTAAATCAAATGTTGAGTCAAAAACATGACCATACATAAATATTGGAATGTATGTACAGCCTCAGTGATGAAAATGCTTGAGAGATGGAGAATTGAGACCAGCTTCTGGTAGATCCTTGAAGTTTGCATTTGTTTGAATTGGAGTAGTTGTAAAAAAAATTATTTGTAAGTTTCCATTTAAAGTCTTGAGCAACTAAGAATGCCATTATCCATCAGGGTTTTGCAGCTTACTGATCAACTTGCTGTGATTGTTAACGGCTGCTTTATTTTATTGAGATTTGAAGTTCTCACATTGGTGAAAATTTTGATATTGGTCTAAGACAAAAATATTGTTCAGCTTGATATAGTCTTTAAATTCATAAGGTATTTATAGTAAATGTTGTGGCAGGTTATACATGACCGGTTGGTTTATCTTCACAAGTTTGACCCTTTTAGTACCTGTGATCAGGAATTTGATCTAGTTTCTGACAGTTTTGCAACCTGTAGAAGATCATAATTTCACAAGTAATTAGTTGCTTTTCAGTTGTAATTTTATTTCATTTTCTATAATGTATTGGCCACCCACATATTTGCTTTCTCAAAGAATTTTATAGAGCCATTGAGAGCAACCATACAAGGTGAGACAAGAATTATGTTTATATTCTTTGTAATTTCTGCATGACAAACACATTCTTCAGGTTCTGTAGCTAGTATTATTTGTATTTGCAGATTTGATTAATTTATTTTTGGGCTGTCTGTTGCATGGCTAAAAATTTTCACCTCATTTAATTTCAGTGATTTGTGAGCCATAATTTTTGTTAATAATTTGTTTTCATAAGTTTAACAACTACTACAATTTCTAAGAAAATCTTAGCAGTTAAGTATGGTGGACTTTGCTGTTACATGAATTTTAGAATTAATATAAAAGTTTATCTGTTACACTTAATGGTCTTAGTACTGATTAATTTGATGTTAAATTTTTATAATATGCATATGTATTTTTGAGAGATTTAGCCAATTTAATGTTCATAGCATTATATGAATTATAAACTTTTTAGGGTCAGGATGTAGCTTAGATCTGCATTAGTGCCCTTGATTATCTTCAGATTGTGCTTAATGATAAATGTTTGCTACGTGACAGTTGAGTATGACAACAGTTCAGGTCATATATAATATTAAGATGAAGTGAAGGTAAGTTTCACCCTAGTCCTAAGTAACGTACTGTATGTATGTATGTGGTAGGGGTATGGAGGAAAAGTCCACGCATTTTTAATCTTGTTACTTCATGTCTGTGGAAGTGAGCAGTTATTTTCACATTCTGGCCACTTACTCTTCATAAAAGAGCTTCTTATACTCGTTGGATTGTCCCCAGACATAGCAGTTTATATTAAATGTAAATGTTTTATTTAAATGCTAGTTTTATATGGATATTCTGAAGTTAACTATATTTATAATTTTCTAGACACTGTTCTGTAATAAGTGTTTCTTTATTTTTGCATACTTAGCAGTGATAGCACTGCAGTTTGCACAATCAGACATTTTAAAACAATTAATACATAGTCTTAATAGTTCTTGGCACTGTTACATGTTTATAATAAAACTATCGGTAAATTGTTGCACGAATTTCCTTACTTCATAAGTTGTTAAAAGATATTTAGAATTTTGATATTAAGCACCATCTTTCCTGAGTATTTCATTGGTAAAAAAGTAGCAGTATTATGGAAATAGAATAATAGTAATGTTAACTTGAATTGCATACAAATCCATACCCAGCTGAAGGTATTTGAACTTGTTAGGAACATGCCTTATTTTCCCGTACATCCTTAATAGCCTACTGCAGCTCTGCAGTTTTTATGCAGTATTCTCTTTAGTACCATGTCATAATATTGGAAGAGTTTTTAAAACTTGAAAATGTGAAAATTAAGTGAGAAATGAGTGACTGAGCAGTACAGTACGTGAGTTCTCAGTTGGTGGAAGAATATTGGGTATTTAAATCACAGCTTTACTCCTTTACAACGAAATGATATAAGACTGAAGAAAGACCAAAAATTTTATTGTATATTGCAGTTGTCATCTTTCAGTCTTGTCATCTCCTTGTCTCAGAAGAAAGGTAATTTTGTGCATAAAATATCCGTTCTTTCATAACTGTTTTTGATGTATGCTGCTTCCTTTCTCACCTGATTTTACATTCATACTAAGTGTTTACCTTTTAACTTATGTTTAAAAGTAGAGAAATATTGCATGATTACCAAAATGTGTGTTAAACATAACATGAAATAATAATGAAAAGTTTGCATGCCTTATTACAACATAATATTTCTGCATGGTTCATGCACAGAAGTAGGTTATTTCTCTGCATGTAAATTACATGTTTGCTACATGGGAAACATCTGTGTTTAAAACTATAATTTTGTTACAGACCCCTAATAATGAGCACTTCCAAGCTTTCAAAACATCTAGTAAATTAGAGCTAGTTCATCAACATTATTATTAAAAGGTCCACAGTGATTGATAGTCACATAATGTCCTTGGGTACCTTTAATGTAAGGTCCATTAATCATAAGGCACAACTTAAATATAAACCATGTCTTCACAGTGAATATCTTCAGCTGTAAATAGTGTCAAGGCTGATATCCAGTAATTTGTCTTTCAGCTGAACAATTTTACACTGGATAGGCACTGCAATTTTATGTTGCCTTTAGTTTGTTTACAGCTCACATACATTGACATAAGTTACAATTGAACACCGACCTGTTCATTGCACAGCCAATCCTTTTTAACCCGGGGCAGAATCTCTTTTACCTTACCAACTTTTTTAAAGTATACAGTGTGAGATCTGTTGTCATTTTGAGGAAAATTCCACAGTTTCTCCTCCATTGTTATAGCCGGGTTTTGACCTTTCTAGTTCTGTTTTGTAGATGTCACAAGTATAAGTTATGTTCTATTTATTTTTTTTGGTTTTGTTGTTACTTGTTCCTAAAGCCTTACATTTCATTGTACAAAAATAATACTCAGATTAAGTACAAAGTAATCAGTTACAACTGCTGTCAGTTTGGCAGTGTAGAATATTTATGAAGATCATTTAAACAGGAAATAGTTTTTTTTCAGTGAATGATATTAAGTAGATGTATTATTACATAATGGGTCCGGTGCCGTCTGAGGCATCATGCTTCGGACTGGCGATACGGAATGTGCACTGGTTCGAGTCTCGGGGGAGAAGAAATTTTCTCATGAGCTTTCGACCAGTGTATGGGACCGATGCCAACCCAGCATTGTGAGGAAATTGGGGAGCTACAATGGGTAGCGTAATCCAGTCGGGAAAACTAGCAATGGCTGGGGGTTCGTCGTGCTGACCACACATCACCCTATATCTGGTTGGATGATCGTTCACCCCTGCTTGGGCATGTGAACGTGAGGCCAGCAGTCAAGCTAGTCGGCTTTGGCTCTCTGGAGCTGTTATGCCTCGGATTTAATTTAATTTTAATTATTACATAATAAATACTTTCTCAAAGAGATAAATGTTACTTAATGTATACTTTGTGAAATTTGTTTAAATTTTTATACTGTAACATTAACAAGTCTGAAGATGTACACACAATGTGACAATTCTGGCACCCTCACTCTATCATTGTCTGTGTACTTTGTTTTGAAAGAAAAATTTTGTTTCATTATCCAATTTTAATCAAACCTGGAATGTTCTTATGTTGTTAACATATGGACAGATTAACAGATAGACAGAACTAAGCTAATTGGTACAACTTTTGATTACAAATACTCAATAAAGGCATTTTAGGTGACTGCCCACTGCAGCTGAGTTGCACCTTAAAATTTGTTTCTTCTTTCATTTCTGAAAGCAAAAATTAAGATTACTTTGACTTGAAATTTATAACAACTACACCTGGATGGTGTGCATCTCTTTCTATTCATTGGCTTATGATGGAGACACAATGCTAGATGTACTGAAATCTTTTGGGGGGAAAGGTATAAGAGAGCGGGTGATTTTTTTTTTTCAAAATTTTTATGAGCAAATAGTTGCATGTTTAAAAAATATTTGAGCCATATTAAACACTCAGATATAAATAAATATTATGCAGCATAGGCATACATGAAAATGATTCCACTGTCACTTTTTGCTTATCAGAAGTAAATGTTTGAGAATTTGTTTCAATGTCTATATATTTGTGTAACACATAATACTGTGCTTCCAATACTCCCATGAATGAATCTTCTCATTTAATATAACACTTAACAGTGACATTTTGAGTTGCATTATACATCTTCAATAATATTGCCTGAAATTGATGGTACATTATGGTTTTTTATGAACATACCAGTACAGGTGATGATGCCCTTTCTCACACTGTATGTATTTCCCATGCAGCAAACATGAGGAGTGAGTAGTCTGTGTTGTGTTGATGTGCGGTATTTGTTTGTAGTGGTATCATCACTGCGGGCTGCTCCAAAGCCCGGATATGGTCTCAAGTCCTCCACCTTGCCTGCAACAGGACGAAACGGCGGCCCAGCGGGCTTTGCTGTGAGTATTGTTTGCCCTTCTGTCATCCCTCCTGCTGTCCTTGTTTGTTTGCTTGCTTATTCCTTTTTCCACCCTGTGTGGGTGGTGGCCAATAATAAACTTTTGATTTACAGATATTGCAAGATTGTCTCCTCGTGACAGTAAACTACTACCAGTCCTGTGAAGTATTTTAACAAAATTGTTTACATCATGCTCTTAGTTTTCATGATTACTTGAAGTTTAAAATCAAGTTTATTAATTGGCTTGAATTGTGTAAATTGTATCCATTTTCTGCAGTAGGCCTCATATTTTATAAACTCTGTGTTTCAGCAGTTCTGTCTGCTCATGGCTGTATGTGATTGTCATTCTAATAGTCAACATTGTTATTTACTTTTATACAGCAGCAATTGAATGATTGAGCCCAACACCCTTTGAATACTAATTTCATATGCTTGCAGATTCTGAATGTTGACTATATTAAGTACTTCTGCTTCCAGGTGTATGAAGTTTATGTTCTGAAAAGTCAGTAAAACTTATTAAATTAAAAATTATATGGTAAATCTGAAGACATGGATGCTCAGATGTTAGTGCCAAATTCATGGGTATAAGTAGCTAGATGTGAATTTGAAAAAGATAATACCAGATGTCTGCTTCCCATTGATGTCTCTTTAGCTGATCTCTCTTGGTACACTGAGAAGACTAAATTTTTCTTCATTGATATTCACAAACAGGCAAATGGAATTCTTACACAGGTAATAAGAAAACATTAAATTCAGTGATTTGGCTGGTAATTTTACTGTCATGAGGTTGGCAGCATGTGACTGGGGATCCTGTGTCTGGTGTTATTTCCCTCTCTTGGGGGTTCTTGTGTTGTTGGTTGTAGTTGTTAGCGCCCTGCGCCACGTGCCAAAACCAGGTTATGGACTAGCACCTCGTTCACACACATTCAGCAGTACTGGTGGCAGTGTGTACAACATTGGAGTAAGTCCCTGTCTTTGTTTTGTGTTAGTAGTTAATGTTGGTAGGCTTGCTTTTCCTTGTAACCTCTGTTCTGCTTGTCCATTGATGGTAAAATATATGAATAGAAAGGAGCGTGATTATATTGATCCTGCTTTCATACAGATATGGTTAAATCAGATGTGAATAATGTAGACATTTTCCTTTGGCTAGGTATAATAATTTTGTTGTTGTAATTAATTGAACCTACGCCTTGTTATTCGACAGGCTTTACACTACCAAACAGCCACATAGGATTAGTTGTGAGACAGTTTAATTCACATTACCAGAGATTGTGCATTTTCTTACAATCTGAACTACTAATTCATGTGGCATTCTATGTTAGTGGTGTGAGAGACTTGAAATTTCATGTACTTTGTTGTGTTTTCATACTGAAAGTCTTTTACATGGACCTGTTGTATTTCCTTTAAATCTTTGTTGATAGTAAATTTCTTTGGGTTTCTTAGTATTGATTGGTATTTGTGCACAGAACATCAGAACATACTCAAAGTAGAGTTTTTGCATGAAGTGGTACAATTTGTGGTATATGTACCCAGTGTTTATAATATATTGAGATGTGTACAGCGGTGGGTTATTTTAACTGAACATACATGTATAATATAGTGATTTGTTTATGTACAATTTTGCATGGCAGTTGGTAGATCAGGTGAGGCATGGTATGGTTCATCCATGCAGTTCTGTTTGTCATATTCATAAAGTACATAAGAGTGATTAACATTTGTTTTGTGGTGTTTGTGTTGGTATGGATAAACCATGTGGTTGACATTCAGTTTTCTTGGAATTGTAATTTTTCAAAATATTAATTCTTTTTAATTCTGGATCTTGACAGTGTTCCATTTCAGGGTTAGTCAAAAAATATGCACCAGCAACAAAATGTTAGTTTCGGAGTCTGCCATGTCCATTCTTTTCAAGATCTGTGTGTGTGTGTATGTCTGTCTGTCTGTCTGGTCTGTCGTTTGCTGAATAACATTAAGTTCTTTGCATATTTGTTATTGTTTCTCACTTGTCTAACTCGGTACATCTCTTGACATTTCTTAAGACCCACAATTCTTAATACTGATGTAATTACTGTGTATTTACTTCATAGGAAATGTGGCTCTAAAGTAATAAAAATGTGAAGCTTCTATACTCAATTTTAAAAGAATTATTTGTACCAGATTGGATGTTTTCCTTTAAAATACTTTTTAATGATGTTTTCATATTAAATGTTCACAAAGGTTTTGTAGGGCAAAACAAATCTCTTTCAAATTTTCTCCTATCTCTGACTGAAAATGTTATTATTAATATTATAGTGGTAACATGTTATATTATGGACTCCAGATGCTAATGTAGTTTATTTTGTGTAATAATAAGTTGACTCATGCTTGTCATTTCAGGGTGATTTCTCATTCAGTGGCCTTGGAGACAAAACTCATAGCACTGAGTTCAGCAGTGGCAAATCTGATAGTGAGTAACATTCACATTTCTAACATAAGAGGAGAAGGGAGGAGGGCAGTTACCTTAATGCGAATTCTGTTATGTAATTTATGAGAAGCTACCACTAGAAACATGCATGAGTATAATGTACAGTCAGTATGTCAGAGGAGGGATTTATTTGGAGGAAGGGAAGTGTGTATTTTATTTTGGGAAGAATATATCAGTCAGAGATTGTAATCACTAATAATGTGCATACACTTGGCTGTAGTAAGGTGGGTTAAGTGGCTGGAGCATGTAGCATGCTTGGGAGAGAGATGAAATCTGTACATCATCTTACTCAATAAACCTGAAGAGAAACCTGTTACATAAGACTTTGAGCCATAAAAATCTTGATTTCTGTGAAAACGATTGTCATAAATAAAGTTTAAGAGTGATTTCTTACATGACTTTTTTATGTAATTTGTTACATAATTTTAATTAGTTCTATCTTGAAGTATTCCAGAGGTAACAGTTCCTTATACTTAGACAGGATATGCTCTTCAAAATGAACCTCATGGCATTACAAGTGTGCTGTTGATTTTGCATGGCTAGGGACAAGATTGATGTGTCATCAATTATACTAACAGGAAAAACAAAGTTGACTGTCTTTGGGGTTGCAGCACTGTGTAGTCTAATAGAAGTGTACTACAACCCAGAACACTTCCAAATTCATACTCATCACTGTGAGAACCTCAAATCCTTAACAGGAAAAAGTTCTTACTATAGTTTTGAATATGGAAGACCTCTGATGCTTTTAATTTGTGTACATATTATGAGCTGGATGGGAAGCAAAGGTGGTCAGAATAAGAAGAAGAAAACACGTTGCTTCTGTGATGAGAAACCCATACCTGAAGTGTTTGTACATCTTTTTAGTTATTGGTGGAATATAATTTGTGGATCAGTAAATGAAGAGTTGTTTTGTGCAGGTGTGGGCATTAGAAGTAAACCAATGTGATTCCATTATCATTTGTACTTATATTCATAAGTTCTGTGCACAAAGTTCATAAAATGAATGTGTGACATGGATGCTGAGTCTGTCCATTAAGCCAAATGTTTTATCACCAAAATAACTTGATTTAGATAACAATTTTATATTGAGCAGTTGGCACTTAAAGTTACTATATAATTTTAATTTTGGTTCACATCTTTCCAGTATAACTCCTACTTTCAGTGAAGCTCAAATTGAACTTTATCAATCTTTTTTATATACATATATATCATGATATTTCAGTAAGGTAGTGGCAGACTGGTAATTTCATTTACTAAAACATATCATGTCTTTTGGTTGGCTTTCGTGCCCACAATTGTGCTCATGTTGCATGACGTTGGTACACAAGTAATGAAACTAACACATGATTACTGAGGTTCAAGTACAGAGTGCTTAAAGGTTGTTGCAGCCATTTAGCCTTGGGGTATACAACATTATTGAGTACTGAGTATTCTGTAGTGTCCTTCCCCTCCACCATCCCATGTACCACAGTCATAAGTGCTGTTGGCCAGAAATGGAGTTCATGTGAAACATTCCCAAATGTTCTGATTATTTGCATCAGAGCTGTATTTAATCATTCTTTGAAGGTTTCTGACTAGGGATATACTACAGTCTTGATTTGATCTTGGAAAATATATTTTTCACAAAGGGACAAAGTAGAACATAATTGTGGCATAATAGCTTTTCAGTTACATGTGCTATTATAGAAGGAAAATATAAGGATTTCACTTCAGTTTTATGCATGCATAAGTTTAATTTGTCTCAAATAAATTTACTTGAAGAAGCATGGGTTAATAGTATAGATGGTGTTTGGAACCCATTTCCATAAAAGGATTTTTAATTAATAGCTACTGTGATGTTAATGTCTCTTTAGGTCCTACAGCTTCTGCCAGATTTTTTTATCTCTGCAGTATTTATTCACTGAAATGGATGTATAAATGTACATTATTCTTGCAGTGTCATAGTCCATATCTTCTAGTTTCAATACATACTTAATTCTTTTAATTCATTTTAGTAGGAACATCAGTCAGATCTGTTATTCAAGAGCATTTGTGGTGATTATGATAAACACTCACATGCTTTTGCACATAAGCCTGAAAATTAATTAAACATCTGGCTCATGTGCTTAAAATGTAAGTGCTGCTCATCAGAATATGTTTCTAAGTTGCATCGGACAGTTTCATTGTCAGAAATGTAGCATAATTAATATGCTCAAAACATTTGGGATGTTTTCATATATAAACCCTTACTAAGTCACTCACAGTTTTATGTTGTGGGGTGTCTTTATGCTCGTGGAACTTGGTGTAAACTGGAAAGCAGTTGTCAATTTGTATCTGTATTGAAAATAATGTTCAGAAAACTAATTCAGAACCTTTCAATCATTCAAGCTTCATTTACAAATCTTATTGATTGATCTTATTTTTTCAAACATGGGAAATATTAATAATAATTTACGTAGTTTGACAAATTTTCTTATTAATGAGGAACAATGCAGTAATTCAGAACTTTTATTATTAAATTTTACCTCATTTAAAGGTGAAGGACAAAAGATTTATAAATGTTTCAATTGCTTGCAGGACAGATATGAACAGTTTTCATATGTTGACTTGTTATTTTGCAAAGGATAAGTCATTTTAAGTTAATTCTGCAAGTAGTTTTTGCTGTGGTTTGACATTCTGACATGAATGTTCTGACAGTGACACATTCAAATTGTAATTATATAAACTTGTCTGGTTGTAAAACACACTT